TCCCTTGGCCTCAGAGACTCCGCTCTCTCCTGGCTCTCATCCTACCTATCACAACGCTCCTTCAGCGTTACCTATAACACTGCCACCTCCTCCCCACCCCCCTCTCTGTTGGGGTCCCTCAAGGCTCTGTCCTCGGGCCCCTTCTCTTCTCCATCTACACCTCCTCCCTTGGCCAACTGATACACTCTCACGGCTTCAACTACCATCTCTTCAACTACCATGACACTCAAATCTATCTCTTTACCCCTCGCCTCACACCCCTTCAGTTTCCCCCGAATCACCAGCCTACTTAACGACATATCAGATTGGATGTCACTCCACTTCCTTAAACTGAACCTCTCCAAAACTGAGCTCCTAGTCTTCCCCCCAGCCCGCGCACCACCCCCCACTGACTTCTCCATCACGTCCAACCATGCCACCATCAAGCCCACTCCGCAAGCCAGAATACTTGGTGTCATACTAGACTCTAATCTATCCTTCCAGCCCCAAGTCCAACCACTAAAGAGCTCATCCACTGCCTCTCATCATATCACAACTCGACTACTGCAACTCCCTCCTCGCCTGCCTACCTCTCCACAGGTTATCCCCACTTAAGTCGAAACTCCTGAATACGGCGGCCAGACCTCATCCACCTTACCAACCGCTCCGTTTTCCGCCACTCCCCTCTGCCAATCCCTCCACTGGCTTCCGATTGCCCAACGGATCAAATTCAAAATCCTAACACTGACATACAAAGCTGTCCACAATTCTGCCCCAAACTACATCACTGACCTAATACCACCAAAAAAGCACTCTCCGCTCCTCACAAGACCTCCTTCTCTCTAGTTCCCTGATCTCCCTCCTCCCATGCCCGCCTCCAGGACTTCTCCAGGGCATCACCCATCCTCTGGAACTCCCTACCCCAATCCATCACCCACTCTCCTCTCCTTTAGGCGCACCCTGAAAACCCATCTCTTCAGGGAAGCCTACCCCACCCCTCTGCTAACTGCCGATCTCCTCCACTCTTCCTACCACTCCATCCCCCACAGCTTTTCCTCCCGTACCACTATCCCCTCCCTCCTAGATTGTAAGCTGCAAGGAGCAGGTCCTCAAACCCCTCGTGTATCGCACTGTATTGTTGCTGTACTGTCTCATGTATTGTCCCCCATTATAATGTACAGCGCTGAGCAAACTGTTGGCGGTATAGAAATACTGTATAATAATAATTATATAAGAATCTGTATGTATAACGATGTATGATATAATATCCTGTATGTATGAATGTATTATGTAATGTATGATATAAACAATGGATCCTGTATGTATACAATGTATGATATAATGGATCCTGTATGTATACGAATGTATGATATAATGGATCCTGTATGTATACAATGTATGATATAATGGATCCTGTATGTATACAATGTATGATATAATGGATCCTGTATGTATACAATGTATGTATGTAATGGGATCCTGTAACAATTGTATGATATAATGTATGTATGTATAACAATTGACAATGTATGTATACAATGTATATATAATGGATCCTGTATGTATACAATGTGTTAATACAGTATAAATGTATGATATAATCATGTATGTATACAATGTATACATGGATCATATAATGTATTTAATGTATTCTATTTATACAATGTATTATATAATTGATCATGTATATATGCACTGTAATTTATACTGTAACCTGTATGTATATAATGTATTATATAATGGATCTGTATGTATACAATGTATTATATAATGGGTCCTGTATGTATACACTGTAATTTATAATGGATCTGTATGTATAACAATGTATTATATAAAGGATCAGTATGTATGTAATGTATTATAGAAAAGGATCAGTATGTTCACAATGTATTATATAATGTATTCTGTTTGTTTACAAAGTATTATAAATGGATCCTGTATGTATACAATGTATGCTATAATGGATTTGTATGTATACAATCTATTATATAATGTATTCTATATTTATACAATGTATTATTATAAATTGATCATATATATATATATACACTGTAATTTATACTGTAACCTGTATGTATACAATGTATGATATAATGGATCTGTATGTATACAATGTATGATATAATTGGATCCTGTATGTATACAATGTATTATTTATATGGATATGTATGTATACAATGTAATATAATTGATCCTGTATATACAATGTATTTATAATGGATCAGTATGTAGAAAATTTAGGAAAAGGATCAGTATGTTCACAATGTATTATATAATGTATTCTGTATGTTTACAAGGTATTATAAATGGATCCTGTATGTATACAATGTATGATATAATGGATCTTGTATGTATACAATGTATTATATATATAATGTGTTCTATATTTATACAATGTATTATACAATGCAGGGCTCAAAATTTCAAGTCCTGAGGTACTAGCCCAGACTTAAGAGTAATGCCGGCCATACATGGGTCGAAATTTGACCAATTTTTTCGTCCCGAAAGAAGAATCGCCCGATTTTCACTCTGTTAGTGGGGTTAATGGCTCTGGCCGATTTTTGTGGTTCCTCCCCTTTTCGGTGATCGGGCATGTTGGAAAATTTGTGAAAAAACGACCAATTTTTCCAAAAAGAATATGCACCGTGAGCATGAGCCGTGACCTGGAAGGAACAGAAGTTTCACTTATTATATGGGGTGAAATTTATGACTTGGTCAGCCGATTTTCGAAATCATTTATAGCACCATCGGATTACCAAGTGAACGACGTTTTCGATTTTTGGATGAAAAATCATTCGGAATTCGACCCATGTATGGCCTACATTACTCACCACCAGTTGCCCCACCCAAACACTACCCTGCCCCGCCTTTTAATTCCACCACTAAACACACACTCATAAATCATCTCATGAGATGGCACTGTTAAATGTTTTATGCAAAATGAAGGAAGGGAAGGAAAGAAGAAAGGATATGGCAGGAAGGGAGGGAGGGTGGAAGGGCAGGAAGGAAGGCTAGGAGGGGTGGACGGAAGGGAGGGAAGGAAGAGTGGTAGGGGTGAAGGGGAGGGTGAAAGGAATGGCGGGAAGGAAGGGTGGGAAGGAAGGATGGGAGGGGTGGAAGGTAAGGGTGGAAGGGATTGAGGGAGGGGTACAAAGGAAGGGAGGGGTGGAAGGATTGGAAAGGAGGGAGGTGTGGAAGTGAGGGAGGTGTAGAATGGAGGGGTGGAAGAAGGAAGGAAGGGGTGGGAAGGAAAGGAGGGAGCAGTGGGAAGGAAGGGTGGAGGGGTGGAAGGAAGGGAGGGAGCAGTGGGAAGGAAGGGTGGAGGGGTGGAAGGAAGGGAGGGAGGGGGGAAGGAAGGGTGAATGGAGGGAGAGGTGGAAGATGGGAGGGAAGGAAGGAAGGAAAGAAGGGATGAAAAAAAGGAAGGGAGGGAGAGGTGGAAGGAAGGGGTGGGAAGGAAGGATGGGAGGGAGGGGAAGGAAGGGTGGGAAGGAAAGGATGGGAGGGAGGGAAGGAAGGGTGGGAAGGAAGGGGGGGGTGGAAGAGAGGGGTGAAAGGAAGAGAATGAGGGGTGGAAAGGAAGGGAGGGGTGCAAAGAAAGGAAGGGGGGGTGGGGTGGATAGAAGAAAGGAAGGGAGGGGTGCAAAGGAAGGAAGGGAGGGGTGGAAGGAAGAGAGGGGGGGGTGGAAGGAAGGAAGGGGCAATGGGAAGGAAGGGTGGGGAGCAGTGGGAAAGAAGGGGGGGAAAGAGGGAGGGAAAAGGAAGGCAGAAGGGAGGGATGGGTGAAAGGAAGGCAGGGGAGGGGTGGAAGGAAGGGAGGGAAGGAAGGGTGGGGGGTAGAAAGGAGGGTAGAAGGAAGAGAAGGAGGGGTGCAAAGGAAGAAAGGGAGGGGTGGGTGGAAGGAAGGAAGGGAGGGAGGGGTGCAAAGGAAGAAAGGAAAGGAGGGAAGGAAGGAAGAGAGGGAGGGGTGGAAGGAAGGGAGGGAAGGAAGGAAGGAGGGAGTGTAACACGCACTCATAAATTATCTCATGAGAGATGTTAAGTGTTTATGCAGAGTGAAGGAAGGGAAGGAAGGACAAAATGAAATGGCAGGAATAAAGGGAGGGGGTGGAATGAAGGGAGGGAGGAGTGGAAGGAAGGGATGGAAGAAAGTGTGGGAGGGTGGGAAGGAAGGGTGGGAGTCCCAGTTCCCAATTGTTAGTGCAAGACCAGGGGCTATCGGTGAAATCTCGGTCTCTGTGCTGGGAGTGTGCTGTACCCATATATGCAGCCTCATAGATAAAGACCCACTTCCAGGAGGTTGCATACGTATATACAGTATATCTGTACTGCCAATGGGTTAATTCGAACAAGCAGCCTGTCTGGCCAGGAATGGGAGGGGATAAGTGTGAAACCCATCCCCCCCAAACCATACCAGGCCACAAGGGTACATCCTGGCAAAGCACCTTGTCCCTGTGTTGATGACGACAAGCGTGTCTTCCCTGATTGGTGGTTTTGGGCTCTGCAGTTAGGGGGCTTATAGGAATCTAGAATCCTCCTTTAATAATAAGGGAGCCCCCAGATACCGCACCCCCACACATGAATGCGTACATAGCACACCTACTCATTCACAAAAAAAGTTGTAAACTAGAAATAAAGACATCCAAATGTTAAAAAAAATCCCCATCCCTTAAATATACCCAAGGAGGACTCCCCGTGATGTTAGTGGTTCCTAAGAATGCTTCTCTGGTGCAAGTACCCGAAACTTTGTTAGCAACCAGTGACAGCAGACAGCTGTTGTATATAGCCGAAACAATGGGCCACATGCGCTAAAGTTCGGTGCAAGTCTAGGTTCAGACCAGGGGCGGACTGACCATTTGAAAACTTGGGCACTGCCCGAGGGCCCGGGGTCAGTAAGGGGCCCCATGAGATGCCCCTGGTACCTTTTTCATAGGCTTTTTGAGTTTGGTCAAGGACACAGGGGCCCCATGATCCCCTATTGCCCGAGGGCCCCATGAGTTGTCAGTCCGCCCCTGGTTCAGACCAAACCATCAAATCATCCATAGGCCGGATCGAGGGGGGAATATTAAGCCCTCGAAACGCGCTGGATTTGTTGCGGAATATAATCCTTTATGGAAGGTACAAACTAGTGTGGTGCTCCTATCTTTTCAATTCTTCAGCAAACTCTTCTGACGGTCCAGAAGGACACCCCCAATTGTTGGTGAGAAGCCTCCAGGACCGCATACCACATCTTATGTTACAACAAATCACCATAAGGTTCAGCGCATCTATACCATGAAAAGTCAGGTTTTTAACCCATCCCTCCTCTATCCAAAATAAATAAATAAATATTATATTTGGGTATACTTTAATCCTTCTTTTTTTTTTTTTCATCTATCCACCTCCCTTCCGGCCGTTGTATATAAACGGTCAGACGGTGGCACTGCAGGGGCGGGTGGCTGTCTATAAATGGCCTTCCTGCCCCCTGCTTGTGCGCGCTCCCCGGGAGCGATGTGGTGCCTGCTGTGTCCTCCGGACACAGTGGAACACCGATCGTCGGACGGGACCTCTCTGTGCGAGGTCCCGATCATGTGATCACTGATTGACCAATCAGTGATCACATCTAAAAGTAGTAAGCAAGATGTCACTTCTGACATCATTGCTTACTACTTGTGAAATCTGTGAATGATCACAGAAGTCACATGGTACAGGGCTATTCACAACAGCCTTGTACCATGTGACAAGCTTTGACCAATCACAGCTCTCGCAGTATTTCTCAATGGCTGCAAGAATGCAGCCAGAGAGAAGGAGAAATGATTGCTTTTACAGCCTTTATGGATGTAAAAGCAATCAGTGTAAAAAAAAAAAAAATCATCACCCCCACAAATAGTACAGTGTCACCATGGTGACACTGTAATGCTAGGGTGACAGTATGTAAATAAATAAATAATAATATAAAAATCAGACAGTGCTTCTTGAAACCAGTAAACCCACAACAGGTTTGTGTTTTTTTTTAAGGGCAGGACAGCTGTCAGCAACACATCCAATATCATCACACTGATTGGAGTCAAGGTTGGCTCACTCCTGGCTCCAATTAGCTCTGGGAGAAGTCATTAAGCTAGGGACTCACATACTTTTTCCTCCCTGCACTGTGAATGTTTACATGTTATGTGCAATTAAACCATGGCAACATCTAATGTTTGTGTAGTATTATGTTCAGCAGACTGTGTTCTTCTATTGTTGTGACTTAGATGACGTTCAGAGCACATTTTATGCCCAATTCATGCAAAACTCCACGGAATCCCAAGGGGTTCACATACTTTTTCTTGCAACTGTAGACTGTAATTTATATCGAACTTTATTAGCAGTTTGTTGTTCAATACCGTCCTTTATTTGGTATCATAATTTTAGCGCTGCACTGTTTTATCTATTCTACTTGTAAGGTTTATGTTGGTTACCTTGAGTGCTTAGCTGCTGATTGGATAGCGCTCACTTTTACATTTTTTATTATTAGGGTGTATACACTCCGGATAAATGACAGCCCACTCCCCCCTCCTCCTCCAACCTCACTAAACAGCCAAACATAATGGTGATGAGATATTACATGTTGATTGATGGAGGCTTCTCCATCCTGTAATATTCACATCAAATTCACTGCTATCAGCAATCATAATGTGTAAAACAAATCCTAATCACTTCCCCAGAGAATTACAAAGTTACTAAGGTAACATTGTATCGCTCTGGTCACAGTTTATTTAAAAAAAAAATGCCAAATTTTTGTACGGTCAGCGTCCTTGATTGGACCACTATGCTAGTTATATGATGACACTGTACTGCACTGGTACCAGTATAAAAAAATATCAAAAATATAATTTTTTTTTTTTTAATGTCTTCATTCTACAAAAAATTATGACAAAAAAATGACAACTTCAAAAAACGCACAATACTTCTTATTAAATACCTCGGACCGTCTACTTTTGAAAAAGGGGTCATTTGGGGAATACTTGCACTGTCCTTGCACGTTTGGGCCTCAAGAAATAAGATCGGCCATCAGTACAGCAGGAATGATCGATTTTCAGATATATACTACTATAATTTGTTGTCTCTATAACTTTCCTACAGACTAAATAATAAACACTGATTTGGTCTATTTTCACCACATAACTGAAGCAGAATACATTCTGGCCTAAATGTATGAAGAACAATTACGTATTTGCAAAATTTTATATAACGGAAACAAATTAGAATGCTTTTTTGTTTCAAAATCTTCAGTCTTTTTTCATTTGTTTAGCAAAAAATAAAATACTCAGTAATGATTAAATACCACCAAAAGAAAGCTCTATTTGTGTGAAAAAAAAAAATGATAAAAATATACTTTGTACAGCAGCACCCCCCCCCCCCCCCCCCAAATTGCGACTACCCCCCAAGAACAGGAAAACGACCCATTGTTGAGAATCCACATACACTCACCGGCCACTTTATTAGGTACACTTGTTCAATTGCTTGGTAACACAAATTGCTAATCAGCCAATCACATGGCAGCAACTCAATGCATTTAGGCATCTAGAGGTAGTGAAAACGACTTGCTGAAGTTCAAACCGAGCATCAGAATGGGGAAGAAAAGGGGATTTAAGTGACTTTGAACGTGGCATGGTTGTTGGTGCCAGACGGGCTGGTCTGAGTGTTTCAAAAATTGCTGATCTACTGGGCAGACTGGTTGACATTTAGATGGTAGGGTCAGAATTTGGCATAAACAACATGAAAGCATGGATCCATCCTGCCATGTATCAATGGTTCAGGCTGGTGGTGGTGGTGTCATGGTGTGGAGGATCCGTCCTGCCTTGTATCAATGGTTCAGGCTGTGGTGGTGGTGTCATGGTGTGGTGGATCCGTCCTGCCTTGTATCAACGGTTCAGGCTGGTGGTGTCATGGTGTGGAGGATCCGTCCTGCCTTGTATCAACGGTTCAGGTTGGTGGTGGTGGTGTCATGGTGTGGTGGATCCGTCCTGCCTTGTATCAATGGTTCAGCCTAAACCATTGATACAAGGCAAGACGGATCCACCACACCATGACACCACCACCACAAGCCTGAACCATTGATACAAGGCAGGATAGATCCACCACACCATGACACCACCAGCCTGAACCATTGATACAAGGCAGAACGGATTCCACCACACCATGACACCACAAGCCTGAACCGTTGATACAAGGCAGGACGGATCCTCCACACCATGACACCACAAGCCTGAACCGTTGATACAAGGCAAGACAGATCCTCCACACCATGACACCACCACCACCAGCCTGAACCGTTAATACAAGGCAGGACGGATCCATCACACCATGACACCACCACCACAAGCCTGAACCCTTGATACAAGGCAGGACAGATCCACCACACCATGACACCACCAGCCTGAACCGTTGATACAAGGCAGGACGGATCCACCACACCATGACACCACCACCAGCCTGGACCGTTGATACAAGGCAGGACGGATCCACCACACCATGACACCACCAGCCTGAACCGTTGATACAAGGCAGGACGGATCCACCACACCATGACACCACCACCACCAGCCTGAACCGTTGATACAAGGCAGGACAGATCCTCCACACCATGACACCACAAGCCTGAACCGTTAATACAAGGCAGAACGGATCCACCACACCATGACACCACCACCACAAGCCTGAACAGTTGATACAAGGCAGGACAGTTGATACAAGGCAGGACACCACCACCACAAGCCTGAACCATTGATACAAGGCAGGACGGATCCACCACACCATGACACCACCAGCCTGAACCATTGATACAAGGCAGGGCGGATCCTGCACACCATGACACCACCACCACCAGCCTGAACCCTTGATACAAGGCAGGATGGATCCTCCACACCATGACACCACCACCACCACCAGCCTGAACCATTGATAAAAGGCAGGATGGATCCATGCTTTCATGTTGTTTATTTCTGACCCTACCATCTAAATGTCAACCAGTCTTCCCATTCTCCTCTGACCTCTGACATCAACAAGGCATTTTCCTCCACACAACTGCCGCTAACTAGATATTTTCCCTTTTTCAGACCATTCTCTGTAAATCCTAGAGATGGTGAAAATCCCAGTATATCAGCAGTTTTTGAAACACTCAGACCAGCCCGTCTGGCACCAACAATAATGCCACATTCAAAGTCATTTAAATCCCCTTTCTCCTCCATTCTGATGCTCGGTTTGAACTTCAGCAAGTCGTTTTCACTACATCTAGATGCCTGGATGACTTGTAGTCCAGGGCCAACCAATCCTAGGTGACAAATGCAGTACTCCAACCAATGGTGTATTTAGGTTTCACGCTGCCCTAGGCAACACAAAAATTGGCTCCCCCCCCCCCCATGGAGAGACCCTGACACCGACCAGTACCTCCCTCCCCCACAAAGAGAGCCTGACATTGACCAACAACAACCCAGTCCCCCACTCCCACCCTAGACAGCCTTCGACAACCACCGCCCCCCATACACTGGCAAACCTCCACCCCGAGTAGAGATAAGACACTGACCTTCACAACTCCTGGAACAAGAATCAGGCTCTGCATACACCATCAAGCAGCCCGCAGCCTCTCTCAGATCCCACCTGGTCCCCATGCTGCGTGTGTCCCTTCTTCCATTCCTTCTTTCAGGGGGCGGCGCTGACCCCTAAAAAATGCTGCAGCCCCCCTGAAAAATGCCACCCTAGGCAAATGCCTTGTTTGCCTTGTGGTAAATACACCCCTAGGGGCGGACTGACAACTCATGGGGCCCCCGGGCAACAAGGGATCATGGGGCCCCTGTGTCCTTGCCCAATCTCCAAAAGCCTATGAAAAAGGTACCAGGGGCATCTCATGGGGCCCCCTACTGACCCCGGGCCCTCGGGCAGTGCCCGAGTTTCCAAATGGTCAGTCCGCCCCTGCACACCCCTGACTCCAATTATTCTACTATATTCAAGTTTTATCTTTATTAACTAAACTAGCCTCAGAAACATTGCAACTGTCAATGAAGAGCTCACTATGATTATTAAACATTTCACTTTTCTAGAAAGAATGTTGTTTCCGACAGTGGTATCAATGTGAATAATTTATTGGCCAACTGTTGCCGCACCTCTGTTTGATTTGGAATCCCATGTTTCATCCTTGTAGAGCGCAAAACATAGCCTAGGCTGTTGACTTTCCTGAACGGCAGACACTTGGAAAAGAGAAAATCTCTTTTGAAAAAGAAACAATTACATTTTGCAGAGCAAAAAGCAAAGAAATAAAAAAAAAAAATCCCTTCTGTGTGGTGGGAGGATTGTGTGCCAGTGAATTGATGCCGATGCATATTTGTAATATTTCAGTCATGAAAGAAAGCAAAATGTTGAAGAATGTCTTTTCTGAGCAATTAAATATTTAGAAAGGATCAGAAAAACCAGCAGCTCTTTGCATACATTGGCTGTGACGTTCTCATGTTAAACCTATGCCAGTTGCAGGCCAATCTGTCCATGCATGTACACTGGTTGTTCTCATCCCCCCAGCACCCCCTTAAGGTTGCTGAAGTTTCAGCCCCCCTATAGTCCTGCACAGCTAGGCAACACGCTTTTCCACATCAACTTACTTCCAGAAGGCAGTATTTGAACTGGGATAGGGTTAGGGGTGTATGGGATGCCCAATGGAACTGTGAAACCAAAGGTCTCTGGTTGTACCACCCCAGACCCTAGACTTTCCTAATCCAGCTGGTCTGGGTAAATCTCTGAGCAGGGGATCCAGTGCCTGATGCTTTAAGGGAAGACAGTCCTGGGTAGTTGCTAAAATGGCTTCCCACCAGAGTGCTCCTTCCTCTATCTGGCCAAGCGGGCTGCAGGTCTACTCAGTCAGTACTTCTCCTGTGTTCCTGGTGGGTCTGTGGCTGATACCAGGCCTTCTAGCTGGGCCATTCTTTCCCTGCCACAAAGCTGGTCCTCTGTTGGGGGCTGGTGAAGTCCCAAGCTTTCCTCTTATCAAGCTTCCGGCCTGTAGGTGAGCCCAGGGGCGGACTGACAACTCATGGGGCCCCCCGGGCAATAGGGGATCATGGGGCCCCTGTGTCCTTGCCCAAACTCAAAAAAGCCTATGAAAAAGATACAGGGGCATCTCATGGGGCCCCCTACTGACCCCGGGCCCTCGGGCAGTGCCCAAGTTTGCAAATGGTCAGTCCACCGCTAGGTAAGCCCCTCTCCCATCTGGGCCCCTTCCCAGGCTCCTGTTCTCCAGCCTCACTTCCTCATCTTCTACCTGAACTCTCTCTCTCCCAACTTTCCTGCTGCTAAGCAGGCTTAGTGACTCTTAAAGGCTGTCCTGGCCCCTTGCCAAGCCTCCTGTTGGGGAATGGCCAGAATCTCCTATAAGTACAGACCAGCCATTTCTCACCTCTTCCCACTGCTTCTAGATCTTTCTCCAAAATTCTAGTGCAAGGGGAAGTCCTGGAGAGTTGGTCTGCAGAGCCTCTCTGCTGTAACCGCAATTTGACCCACCTGGCCATCACATCCAGGCTGCTACTTAGCCCTCCTCCCTAACCCTCTTGGGAAGGTTCTACACATGTTCCATTCAACAGGCATGACAGTTGCATGAAGGAGCCAATTAGATTATACCTGATATATACTGTGCAGATGGCACACTGGACATGTGATCTCAGACTACTCCTATGTCCTTCCAAAAAATTTTTTCAAAACCTCTGTGTAATAAAATTAAATAATAATGCCTCCTTCCAAATATACAGTTGCAAGAAAAAGTATGTGAACCCCTTGGGATTACATGGAGTTTTGCATGAATTGGGCATAAAATGTGCTCTGAACGTCATTTAAGTCACAACAATAGAAGAACACAGTCTGCTGAACATAATACTACACAAAAACATTAGATGTTGCCATGGTTTAATTGCACATAACATGTAACCACCTCTATGCCGACGACACACAAATCTATCTCTCGACCCCTCGCCTCAATCCTTCAATCTCCGCCCAAATCACACACCTACTGAACAACATATCAGATTGGATGTCGCGCCACTTCCTTAAACTGAACTTCTCCAAAACTGAGCTCCTAGTTTTCCCCCCAGCCTGCGCCCCCCCCCCCCCCCCGACTTCTCCATGACGTCCAACAATGCCACCATCAGTCCCACCCCGCAAGCCAGAGTACTGTTCTTCCAGCCCCAAGTCCAATCGCTAACAAACTCGTGCAGACTCTACCTCCGCAACATCGGCAAAATACGCCCATTTCTAACCCCGGAAACTACTAAGCAGCTCATCCACTCCCTCATCATATCACGACTCGACTACTGCAACTCCCTCCTCACTGACCTGCCTCACCACAGGCTATCCCCGCTTCAGTCGATCCTGAATACGGCGGCCAGACTCATCCACCTTACTAACCACTCCGTTTCTGCCACCCCCCTCTGCCAATCCCTCCACTGGCTTCCGATTACCCAACAGATCAAATTCAAAATGCTAACACTGATGTACAAAGCTGTCCATAACTCTGCCCCAAACTACATCACCGACCTAATATCCAAATACCACCCAAAACGCACTCTCCGCTCCTCACAAGACCTCCATCTCTAGTTTCCTGGTCTCTTCCTCCCATTCCCGCCTCCAGGACTTCTCCAGGGCATCACCCATCCTATGGAACTCCTTACCCCAATCCATCAGACTATCACCAACTCCTTTAGATGCACCCTGAAAACCCATCTCTTCAGGGAAGCCTACCCCGCCATCTGCTAATTGCCAATCTCCTCCACTCTGCCTACCACTCCATCCCCCACAGCTGTTCCTCCCGTACCACCATCTCCTCCCTCCTAGATTGTAAGCTCCAAGGAGCAGGGCCCTAAAACCTCTCGTGTATCGCATTGTATTGTCATTGTACTGTCTCATGTATTGTCTCTCATTGTAATGTACAGCGCTGAGCGGACTGTTGGCGCTATATAAATACTGTATAATAATAAAATAATAATAGGTCATATGACTTTGTCTAAAGAAAAAAGAAACAAGCCAGCAAAACAAAGCCAATGAGATTATACCTGATATATGCAGATGGCAGAGTGGACATGTGATCTCAAACTGTTCCTACGTCCTTCTTTAGGTCACGTTCTCATCTACACCCATATAAACCCCAAGCAGTGTACAGAAAACACTGCATCACCATGAACCTGAACCTCATTCCTAGTCTATATTAGTATGAAAAGACATCATATACATTAGAATTTTTATTGTATTATGTATTACTGTAATACTTTAAAACTTTTTTTTTTGTAGCTTATGGAAGTATCATATTCTAATGGAACGGAGATTACCTCCTGGTAACTGTCTATCCACTGACACATACAATATTTTATGTATTGCATTTCTTAGTCCTGATGCAAGGAGACCAGTGAGCCTCTGAAATGCTTTGGATCATTTTTATGATGTTTGATTATATTAATAGACTTACAAGACCTACTTGGAACCTAAATTGTGCTTCCATCCTTTCACTCTGCTTGCAGAGATCTTAGTGGGACCGTGCTGGGAAAGGTGCCCCCCGTTGGTCAAGCTATGTTGGTGGCACCAGTTTTCATCCATGGAGAGAACACTAGAACCGTAGTGTGTACATGCAGCACACCCCCTAAGGAGTTGCTGGTGAACTTAGTCCTAGTCCCCCCCCCCAACTTTGAGCGTACACAGCCAGGCACACAGCATTTCCTTTACTCTTCCACTGGTTCCAAGGAAAATCAAGAGGGTTCTTTATGTGTTTCTATTGTGAACATCAAACTTGGATTCAGTAAGCGAGCATGGGTTACCCCAAAAATGAAGAACTGGACAACTTGAGGACACCTTAACCCCTTGGCGCAGGAGCCTTTCCAGCCCTTTAAGGGTTTCAGAAGCCGGAAGGCGGGCAGGGTTTTTGGGTCATGTGACCGCTGTGATTCGCTGTTACGGCAGTCACATGATCGGGAAAGGTCCTGATCGCAAGAGGAGATTGGGACCTTTCCGTGAGTACTGGACATGTGTGCTGGGAGCACGCAGGGCACGTTCTCATCACATATGCTTTTCTTAATTGCACGCAAATGTGCGGCCGCTCGACGTTAAGGCCCAGACTCCGGGAGGCCACACATTTGCATGCGGTCGGCACCAAGAGGTTAACTATCTTGCTGAACTGTAATGAAAGAATGTCCCACTGAATTTCTATGGTGATGGAGACTAGTACTCCTTCCAGAGGTAACAGCTGCACACAGTCACTGGTTTTCCAGCACTGGGGTCATTTACTCACACAGCCACAGGATCATTGGATGCCTCCTACTGTCAGGGCAGGAGCTGAGGAACAGACAGGCAGGCCTAATAACAAGGTAACGCACTGGCTGACGACAACCACCACCCACAGACCGAAGTCCCTCAGGGCTCGGAGTCTAAGTACCAGGCTGCCCTTCACCAGGGCCCCTGATAGTGGGGATGGACTTGACGCAGCCAGGAACCAGGTCGCGGCCCCCGAGACACCTCAGTTGCGGTAATGGCCGCCGCCAATGGCGTGTAGCTGGTGGAAAAGACAATAGAGTAGTCAGGCAGGCCGGGTCGACAACAACGGGACAAAACGGTACAGGACAGCAGACGAGAATCACAGGTCACGAGCCGGGTTCAGCAACAGAGGGTCAGATCAAAGGAGAACACAAAGAATAGTCAAGTCACAAGCCGAGTCAGATTCCAGGAGAGTCACAAGAGTCAGAACAGAGTAACAGCAACACAAAGACACAAGACACAAGT